AATATTTCTTACCATTTTTCAAACACTTGAAGTCAGTTGAAACAACAATCAATATTATGTACTTATATCTAAAACCGACTACTTTGAAATATTTCTATAATTAATGCATAATCAGCATTTGAGCAGTATTGAAACTCGGCGTGTTTCTTTTAAAGATGGGTTCCCTGAAAATGAAAATGTTAATACTTATATGAATAAAACGTAGAGGTGTTCTAATAAATTGTAAAAAAATGTCCATAATTAATTCATATTTAGCTAAATTAAATGAGAATTACCTGCAGGGTTCCAATGAATGTCCGATCAAAAAAGGTCAAACAATTATTTTTTTGTTTATTCAGACTGTACATGCATGGGCATTTCTGATTGGTTAAAACTCTTAATTATATGTTAAAAAACATAATGATATGATTAAGAATACATGATTATTCATTAGAAACACCAATAATCAAATAGTTTGCTTAATTTGACACTAAAAAGGGAAACCCATCTTTAAACGCATAAAAATTGAAGTCTTGTCATTATCTTCAGAATCAATTGTTTCGTATCGTCAAGTCAAACCGAGGAAAATGTTGTCGATATTGTTGAGATGTATGTTTATATTTGTAATTGGTGAATCTTTTGAGATAATCACTAAAACTTATATCTCTTTCTCAAATGACCAACTGTTTTCAGGATATTATGATAATAGAGTTGAACCCGAACGGTTACGATGTGCACAATCTTGTTATGATGATAACGTATGTTTTGGTGTTGCGTATCATAAAGAGCGTCAGATATGCTATGTCTATGATCAGTTTCCACATTCACCAATAGTAGATGTTGGTATGGTTACATTTTTACCCGAAGGTAAAGTTTGATATTAAAAACTATTTACACCGTTCTACCTTTCTCCATAACTTCATCTAGCATTAGTAGAACACTGTTACTGAACACGTATCCTAATCTTCAACAGAGGTGCTGAAACTAGAACTGTTTCGTGTTCATAGGCGAAGTACAGTCACTATTTTAATCACCACGTTGAAAGTTAAATTAGGTAGATGAAATAGGCTGGATACATAGAAGCACAAATAAAATTTTAGAGATCTTTTCGTGTATAATTTACGACGTATTTCGGGTTTAGTTTTGCGGTTCAGATTGTTAGTACTTGGTTTATTTATTAATAATGATAATAGTGCAAACGACTTTTTAAATTGTATTAGACTGATGCTCAGAGGATGTATAAAGCTGATCAATGTTACAAGCATCATAAGACAGGAAGTGTCCTTTCAGGTCCCACGTCTGCAGCAACCTCTTTCATGTAAACCAGAGAGTTTACGCAGTTTTTGTTGTCGCTATTGGGTGAGTGCAAAGGCCAGAGATCAAAGCGGAGTCGTGATGTAATATATAAAGGATATAAACAAGTGAATAAAGATTCTGTTTATATGATCTTAGAAGATTGCTACTTTCACAAAACGAGAAAAAGTGGGCCATTGTATAAGATAGGATGTAATATCTGATTTTTCAGATATCTCGTATCAAGTAGAAGTAAAAACAGGAGATGAACCTGCAGCAGAAACAGCTGCAAATATTACTCTGATAATTTATGGTACTCGTGGAGACACAGGCCCTTTACAACTAGACCAATCTCTTGATCATTCTGATCCGTTTCAACGAAACTACACTGATACTTTCATACTTACAGCTCCGGTCATTGGTCAGGTAAGGAAATTAGATAACCATAGAAATAAAAACTGAACATAAAGTATGTTCTACAAAATTTGCAGCAGGGTTTTTCTTCTATCTTATCTTGACCTTGTCTTTCTTAGTGTATAGTGTGTTTATCGTAAAGGTAAATATTTGACCCAATGTTGGTAAATTTGGGTGCTAATTTAAACTTTCCATAGGAGATTTTGACAGATTGTAGTTAATATTGGAAACGAAAAACATTTCCAGAGCATAATGTTTAATATAAAAAGTATTAAAACTAAATCTTATAGCAGCCTAAGTTAGGAGGTAAAGGATCCAGAATTTGGTTTTGGAACAGTTTTTTCGGATTCAGGATATCTGAAATATGCTAGAAAAATACATTACCGACTGTTACCCAGAAATGCCTCTCACTTGAACGTTTCTCTGAAATCCGACAAGTCTGTAACTATTTGGCTATGATTTAAATTTATTTTAGTTACTAAGTTGTGAACAAATTTTTACACCTAAAAATCTTTGGATTTCTAAGAAAATGTTTTTTTTTCATTTTGTTCATATAATATTTTGACAGAATACAATTCATGTTTAAAATTTCTACTATAATAACCTTTCTAGTTCTTGCTGATTTATGTTGTTTTGAATGTTAACAAGGAAACACTCATTGTTAATATCATACATTATTTACATTACTATTACTATTGGTATGTTGATTTTCTGATTTTAGATTGAAAAAATTAAGATGGGACATGACAACTCCGGGCCAGGCTCTGGGTGGTACTTAGGCACAGTAACTATTGATTTGCCATCTGAAGGTCGACGTTATGAGTTTGTGTGTAATCGATGGTTATCTAAATCAGACGATGATAGAGAGATTGTAAGAGAATTTCAGCTAACTAGTTCAGAAGGTAATTATTAAAATCAATTTAGATAATGTGAATATCTCAGACATCTCTTTGAAACAGACTAATTAGATGAACTATATAAATAAAAAATACCTATGAAATGCCTTTCCTTAATTCACAAGCTGTAACGAAGAATTGCGGAAAATTGTTATTTTGACTTCAAAACAAATCCAGATCTCCAAAACCGCTTGTCTTATTAGAGGTCAAAACTAATTCTATATCCTTATTGCAAATTTCTGGTCATCTCCTAAGTTGGTGAGCGTCTCGTAATAGAGGTTGAAACTAATTCTATATTTTATTTATATTTTAGAATTGTAATACACGTGATAGGAAATATAATCGACTGTCAGACGTTGATAACCAATTGAATGGCACATCGCTAACGATGCATTTAACTTATATTATTAAAAGTTGTATATTATAATTATTGAGAGGGAATTGATATTATATTGTTAGTGTAGGTTTATGTTAAAGGTAATATAAATTAATAAAAGTTGTATATTATAATTAGGGAATTGATATTATATTGTTAGTGTAGGTTTATGTTGAAGGTAATATAAATTAATAAAAGTTGTATATTATAATTATTGAGAGAGAATTGATATTATATTGTTGATGTAGGTTTATGTTAAAGGTAATATAGATTAATAAAAGTAGTATATTATAATTATTGAAAGGTAACTGATATTATATTGTTTGTGTAGGTTTATGTTAAAGGTAATATGAATTAATAAAAGTTGTATATTATAATTATTGAAAGGTAATTAATATTATATTGTTGGTGTAGGTTTATTTTAAAGTTAATATAAATTAATAAATGTTGTATATTATAATTATTGAAAGGTAACTGATATTATATTGTTGATGTTGGTTTATGTTAAAGGTAATATGAATTAATAAAAGTTGTATATTATAATTATAGAGAGGGAATTAATATTATATTGTTGGTGTAGGTTTATGTTAAAGTTAATATAAATTAATAAATGTTGTATATTATAATCATTGAGAGGGAATTGATATTATATTGTTGATGTAGGTTTATGTTAAAGGTAATATAGATTAATAAAAGTTGTATATTATAATTATTGAGAGGGAATTGATATTATATTGTTAGTATAGGCTTATGTTAAATGTAATATAAATTAATAAAAGTTGTATATTATAATTATTGAGAGGGAATTGATATTATATTGTTGATGTAGGTTTATGTTAAAGGTAATATAGATTAATAAAAGTTGTATATTATAATTATTGAGAGGGAATTGATATTATATTGTTGATGTAGGTTTATGTTAAAGGTAATACAAATTAATAAAAGTTGTATATTATAATTATTGAAAGGTAACTGATATTATATTGTTGGTGTAGGTTTATATTAAAGGTAATATAAATTAATAAAAGTTGTATATTATAATTATTGAGAGGGAATTGATATTATATTCGTTGATGTAGGTTTATGTTAAAGGTAATATAAATTAATAAAAGTTGTATATTATAATTATTGAGATAGAATTGATATTATATTGTTGATGTAGGTTTATGTTAAAGGTAATATAAATTAATAAAAGTTGTATATTATAATTATTGAGACGGAATTGATATTATATTGTTGATGTAGGTTTATGTTAAAGGTAATATAAATTAATGAAAGTTGTATATTATAATTATTGAGAGGGAATGGACATTATATTGTTGATGTAGGTTTATGTTAAAGGTAATATAAATTAATAAAAGTTGTATATTATAATTATTGAGAGAGAATTGATATTATATTGTTGATGTAGGTTTATGTTAAAGGTAATATAAATTAATAAAAGTTGTATATTATAATTATTGAGAGGGAATTGGTATTATATTGTTGATGTAGGTTTATGTTAAAGGTAATATAAATTAATAAAAGTTTTATATTATAATTATAGAGAGGTAATTGATATTATATTGTTGATGTAGGTTTATGTTAAAGGTAATATAAATTAATAAAAGTTGTATATTATAATTATTGAGAGGTAATTGATATTATATTGTTGGTGTAGGTTTATGTTAACAAAGAGTTATTACACAAAAAGAAGGAATATTTTACAAATGATAATAAAAATCAAATTTTTTGATGGAATATTTTAGGCGGACGAAAGTGTCAAGAGCTAAAGAGGCACTTCTTTCAATCAAACATGCAAGATATTGGCTGAATGATAACTACCAATTTCCTTATAGGACTGTAGTGGACCACCATCATATGCGGTGTCACAGAAATGCATTCAAAAATCACACCCGATTTGAATATTAGTCTACTAATCGATACTAGCTTTCAGTACATCTCAATGATATTTGTAAAGCAATCATATTGACTTTTACTCTCGATATTGCCATACTTTGGACGATATTTTGATTTACTGAATTGTTTTACTTGTACAGATGTTTATTTTACTAACATTATATGAATAATAGATTTTTATACGAATGAGCGAAAGTATTGTCACAAACCTTTACGTTAAAATAGCCAATTTGGTGTTTAGGTTTGTCAACGTCCCAGTTATATATGTAGGAGTGTATATTATCAAAGGTTTTGTTAAACAAATGATACGAGACATTTGTCGATAAATTTGGGAATAATGAAAGTGGCCAGGGGTTAGAACGCCATTCACAACACTGTTGCACTTTTGAACTAATGAACGGTAATTTATTTGCAAACCATACGCAACTGATGATCGGTATGGTGTGAAGGTCTCTTTAGACCACCTATTTATCGCTAAAGGATTTTCTATGTATAACTAAATACAAACCAAATACTATTCAAGCCACAGCTGGTACTTTGCTGGAGTCAGCCCTGTAGCTGGTTATCCGTATAATATACAGACTCTCTGTAAGTAAACAGATCTGCCAGAAGTGGGAATAAAGCTCCTTAAAAAAACCAAAAGCTTGTAGACACTACAACTGACCTTCTGGAGAATTTTCCTCGTTGCACACTGAATGACGAAGTCTACATTGATCCCATAAGGTGCAGAATAAGCAGATCCCAACACCCTCTTCATTTCATTTCCTTTCTAAAATTAACCATGATTCATAGTGAGGGCTATCACAATGATTACAAGAAGAAAAGGGGTACAGTAGGGAGGGTAATAATGGCAATATGCAACGCTTGAATTTAGAGTATGACATGCCAGATATTTGAATTAATAAAATCTTTCACAGTTCAGTTGACTCCATAAAGACAAAACAATCATAATTTTAGATTAAGGATGACGTATATCATACATGTATTGATTAACAATAACAACAAGAAAGGGGAAAGTTTGTAAACTTAAAGTGATCGACACAACAATAGTAAATATCTGTAGACCAGAAAGAGCACGCAAAAAATCACAGGCATCTGTTTTTATCAATAGTCGACTCTCTCTATAATAGTATTATATATGAAAAGGTGGCTAACGCTGGTCACGACCATCTCCACTTCAGACGATTTTCTACCATTTACAGTAATGAAACATAATCCCAACCTTATATGTATCGTTTCATAGAATATTTTCCCTTTACACAAGACCTATTTTATATCTCCCTCGGTGTTCCTCTCTATACTAATGTCCTAAATATTGTCCAATAAAAATGCTAAAAAAGTTTATACCCATTAACATTAAACAGATGCCTGTGGGAAAACTGCATACAATAAACAAAGAAAATGTTAAAACAGATAAGAATAGAAAAAATAACATCTTTCACTTGAGTAAGCCGGAACCTATACAATATTAATTATCCTGCAGTAAAAGTCATCAAATTAATACGCAAACATTTCAAAGCGTCAGTTAAAGAGAAAATTGTTATATTGTAACTGTCAAAAATGATTAGACGAGGTATGGAATCTGGTGGACTGTCAAAGATATTTAGACGAGGTATGGAATCTGGTGGACTGTCAAAGATGATTAGACGAGGTATGGAATCTGGTGGACTGTCAAAGATGATTAGACGAGGTATGGAATCTGGTGTACAGTCAAAAGTGATTAGACGAGGTATGGAATCTGGTGGACTGTCAAAGATGATTAGACGAGGTATGGAATCTGGTGTACAGTCAAAAGTGATTAGACGAGGTATGGAATCTGGTGGACTGTCAAAGATGATTAGACGAGGTATGGAATCTGGTGGACTGTCAAAGATAATTAGACGAGGTAT